GGTTTGGTGAAATTCACATTTTCACAATTTGACATAAAGCTTGGCATTCAATAGTTTCTTTAACACTTCTCTCACTAGCTTTATGTGATCAGTCATATTTGTGCTATATATCAGGATATCATCAAGATACACCAAAACCCCTTTGTACAAGTGATCATGTAGAACCTCATTTATCCCTTCTTTTGCCGAGATTGCCCTACCTCTTACAGAACTATTCAAAACAGGCAGATTCTGGCATGATGTCACAGGTTCCGACTAATGAAGCACTTCAAAGAACTTTCAGGCATGTTTCCTAAAATCTTTATTACAGAGCTACAAATTGCCGGTCACCATCATGGACGTGTTGATGCCAGAATCTGACTTCCTCTCGCTGGCATCAACTTTTCTTGCTAAACCCCTCCCTTATCTTGCAGTCACAAGTCACATTATCCAATTAGTGTGAAGGTCAAAAATTTGCTTCCTCTTTCTTTCCCGGGCTTTCCCCCCCCCACTCTAAGCTATGTATTAACCCAGTAAATACCAGACAGTTTTGCATATTGTCAAAGCAAGAATATACAGTATTTGCAGCATTGACACCCTGCTTCCCCACCTGCCCATCTTTTATTCTCATATCGCTGTACCACGGTTTTCTTTTCCATTGCTTATTCTATTGCTCCGTTACTTTACTATGGTTCATACTTCTTTTCATTTCTCCGTTTTTGTCATTGTAAGCTGTCTAGAGCAGGCCTATGGCGAGATAGGCAGCAAATAAATTTAATAAACAAAAAGTAAATAAATAATCATTCCCCTGCATTAAACCTTCCTCCCTCTTTCCCTCCCTCCTTAGCAAATCATTCCCCACCTTATGCCATACCTCCCTTCTCACTGATCCCACACAGACCAATGGCAAAAAAAAAAAAAATCACAAAGGATCTTTAAAAGATCCTTTTCACAGTCCAAGCAGTAGCGGGATTCAGCCGATTCGCACCAGCTGGGCAGAACCTGTAGCTAATTTTTTGTTTCCCATGCCCACAATGGACTTCTGGAAGCGGCATCCACATAGAGAACTGGTTGTTCACATATTTGAATCCCATCACTGAGTCCAAGGCAAGGGTATCCAACCTTTTGGCTTGCCGGAACTGCACTGAGTGAAGGAGAATTGTCTTGGGCTGCATATAAAATATATAATGTAGTTAATGTATGTAAAAGTTAAAATCTTGTGGGGCTACATTACTAGCTGTCCAGGGATGTGTAAGTGACCTGCTGATACTTCTTCTTCTCACTAGCCAATAATTTTCCAATTTTAATTGCAATGGTTCCTTAGCCATAGTTTTATGGCTTTTGTTCACTTGCTTTAACATTTATGATTTTTATTTGACTTCCCACTGCATTGCCTTGGGCTTTTGACGTTGATTCAAATTATTTTTCTTTCATAAGGCACAATCCAGCCAAAACTCCATTATATTCTCAACACAACCCAAGGAAATTAGTTTTAAGCATTCACTGAAGCTCATAGAAGCTAGGTTAGTTCATGGGCTGCATCATGAGGTTATTGTTTTATAATTGCTGCATGTGTCACTCTTTTTGGGATTCATTACAGCAAAATGGAAAATGAGACTAAGAAGCTCCATGAAATAAACACGTCTTCTAGCAGCATCCCCAGGTGAATGCAATTGTTTGTTTTCCAGTTCAAGGGCAGCTGGCTCCCTTCTTCAGTATCCAGACAAATAATTCTGCCCCACATGTATTTCCAGGGAAGAGTTATTTTTGTTCTGAAAAGCCCAAGAGGGACCCTTTGGTGTAATCCCAAGCTTTCAATTGCACCTGCTTTCATATAGTAATACTGAGATTTCAAATGACACATTTCCTACATTCAGTGTGCTTCAGACACATCCATTCTCCCAGTAAGGATTGCACCAAAGTGAAGGCATTATTTTGCCTTATCTGCACAAAGTGGCAACTGAAGAAGTCCCACCCACAGTAGGTCAGCCCTAACGTCTTCCTACCAGGGAAACATTCTCCTCTACCACTTGATAAGGAGGGAGCTATCCCCCCCAAAAATAAAAATGAAAAATGAAACATTCTGTCTTTATCGTCTGCTTTTCCTTCTTTTTCTGTTGTCCTCCTCTTCCCTGCTTACAGCAGGTTATTCAAGACAGGTGAGGTTGATCAGAAAGCTACCCTCTTCCTTCATTTCCTTCATTTCAGCCCCCCCCCTTTCTTCTCAGATTCTGTGCTTTCCTTGCTTCGGGCTATTTTTTTATGTATATTTATGGTAAAATAAGGACAACATTCTAAAAGACAAAATGTTTAAATCTTTGCCATCATTAAAAACTAGAGCAAAATAAAACCATTAGGTCAGACATGTCAAAGACAAGGCCCGAAGGCCGGATGCGGCTCACGAAGATGTTTCATGTGGCCCGCGAAGCCATCCTGGAAACAGTGAGGGAACGGCCCCTACTGCCTTGGCCCTGGCTCAGGCCAGCTAGGAGCCAATGTACAATTTTGTGGTGGCCATCTTGACACTTGACTTAGTGGACAATGCCTTGGCACTTGCCCCGGTTCTACCCCCTTCTGCCAGAGACCCTCAGATCTGTCCCACTCCTGCTCAGGCCCCCACAGGCCCCCTTGACGCGAATGTAGAACTGGCCATGCCCACCCAGTAGGCCACACTCACTCCATCCACGCCCAGTAGGCCAGAGAAGGCTGCATCCACTCTGGCCACACCCCCCTGGCCCCCCAAGGGCAACCGCAATGCTGATGTGGCCCTCAGTGAAACTGAGTTTGACACCCCTGCATTAGGTGAAAATGAATATCAGTCCACACTAAACTATAATTTGCGCTGAAAATTCTTAGTAACAGTTGATTGTCAGCCCCAAGAATGAAAAACGACACCTGGTGTTACTTAAGAGTGGTTTACTCTACTTCACCTGCAGACAGAATCTTGCCAGGTTAAAGCAATTATTTGCATAGCTACAGATATACTCTGGGAATTGCCAGGGAGGAGCCATTCTAACTCTCTTCCTACTAACTGAACTTTCCAAACTACAGTACCTCTTTGCTTTCTGGAAAGCAGCCCCTCCCTCCTGGGAATCCAGACTACATTCTACTACATGCTTCAAGTTTAATAAGGGGAAAGTGGGTGGGAATGTAAAGGGAAACCTCACATTTCTCTAAGGAGGGTATGACAAAATTTGGATCGCTCCACAGAAAAAGAGGAAGTGTAAAGTAGTCCTCAACTTACAACCACTTGTTTAGCGACCATTCAAAGTTACAACAGCATAGATTCACAACCAGTACTAGCACTTATAACTGTTGCAGCATCCCACAGTCAAGTGATCAAAATCCGGGTGCTTGGCCACCAGGATGTATTTATGACGGATGCAGTCTCCCGAGGTCATGTGATCATTATTTGCAAATTTCTCAGCCAGCTTCCAACAAGCAAAGTCAATGAGGGAAGCCAGATTTGCTTAACAACCTCGTGATTCACTTAACAACTGCAGTGATTGACTTAACAATCATGACTAAAAATTGTTAAATCAGATGCAGCTCACTTAAAAACTGCCTTGCTTAGCAATAGAAATTCTGATTCTGATTGTGGTTGTAAGTTGAGGACTACCTGTATAAATGGTTTAATCCAGGCCCCTCAACTCATGTTTGCTACGGCAGGTCCAGAGCAAATGAAATCTTATCATAGCAATAAAAAGAATCACGACATCTTGTTTACTGAGTTGCCCTCTTCAACTGAGGAAATGATCTCAATTTTGAATTAAATCCATAAAGCAAATGGATGCCAGTTTGTACCCTTGCACACATACGCACAGAAAGTTAATGGCAATAAACATTTCCATAACTTTTGAGCTTCCAAAACAGCAATATTCTTTCCTTCTTCTAGTACAACTTTTAAATATGATTAGAATCTAATTTCTTGCAATCCATCCTCTGCTGGTCCCCATAGTTTTATTTTTTTTTCTTCATAGATGTTGCTAAAATTTATCAAACAGAATACCTTGCTGCAGGAGATGCAATAGTTTAAAAAAACAACAACAGGGAAATGATATTTATAAGCAAGTGAAATTGCTAGGTAAGGATGTATGTTACCCAGAGTGAAATTTCCAATAGACTTTATGGATTAAAAATGGTGTCTGGAGGGAAAGGCTCAGTCCCAGATTAAAAAAATAATTTCCTTTTTGGCATGGTTAGGGCGAGGTCTATAGAGCTAAATGACCATAGTTGCATTAGAAAGCAAAGGATCTAGCTAGCAACTGGAGTGGGATTCAGCACCACCCAAATAATGTGTAGAAGACACGCAATCCAGCTGCAGCCTTTCCTTCTGGTTCCTTTTGTGGGGAAAGCAAGCAATTTATTCTGTGGAAGAGACTAACTGCCATTCATTTCTACAACATGGCTTGCCTCTTTCCAGAATTCTAGCTAACTATGACTCAGCATCTTTTCTGCACTGACAAGATTATGTATCATCCTTTAACCCTAAAACTATATTTCAGTGCCACAACCACTAAGTAGAACTTCTTTTCTCGTTTCTGGAATCCAGCATGATTCAGCTAAGCAGTAATGATTCTAAACCTACCCTGCTGTAAAACAGGAACTAGGCCTCAGAAACAGGCTAGCCTAGAGAATTAAAAAAAGGAAGAAATCTGAGCCAGGCAGAACTTTGTTACTGTCAATCCAGACTGAACAATCTTCTTCAAGGAACTGCATCTGTTTCCCCTACAGGCAGGACCTTTCTGCACTGGTCTTTAAACCCCTCTAATCCAGAAGGAAGATTTTGCCCTGTGGATCAGCCTGAACCTCTCCTCTTCAGAAAATAAGATATGACTTTGCCAATCCACATGAAGCAAGGAACTTCAAAAACTGGAGAAACTCTCCTTCAGTCCCTTTTTGCGTCTGGCATCTTTGGGATAAGCCCTTAAGTGCCTCTGAAGAATCCTTCTCTCTCGTTTCTGTTTATTACCTTCCAAAATACTGTCTCTAGTTACCTGCCAACGGAGGCTCATCCTTACCTTGTAATATTTGGGAAGCATGCTAGTTCCTCAGATCACAGGTGGAGTTTGGCAACGTGGTCCTAAAGCGATCGTCCAGAAAAACCGATAAAACCCCATTCTGCTTGCTCCTGCAAGACTCTAGGGCAGTCGATTACTTTGCAGACTCTCTGCTCTGCTGTTCTATGTATATCTCTAAAAGACTGAGTAAGGATGCTACAAATGGCCAAATGTACGAATGCGGTGGAGAATGGGTGGAGAATTGCACTGAAAGCAGGAAGCTTTCACTAGAACCTGATTCCTGTCAGTGCTGCTAATCCAATCTTTATACAGCATCAAAATAAATTCCCATGAAAAATTAAGTGAACTCTAGCCAGCAGCTGTACTCTCTGTGCTTTTCTGACCTCACTGCATTGTTGTTGTTTTTCTTACTACCTTTGGGTTCCTGGGGGCTTTGAGCCAATTCCATATTCCTGGACTCAGAGTAACTGAATTGCAAAATATCTTAATTGCAAAATATCTTAATTTGAACTCTGTTTAGACATCATCTCCTCCAGCATCCAAGACTGCACTCTTTCTGTAATAAACTGAGGCATCCCCAATACTGTAAGCAAAATTGCTTTGAGGTTGGGAAACCTGTCATCCATTTATCTTGTAACTGCAAGTAAGTCATCATATCCTTCTTCAACCGGATACTCTTGGTTGTAAGATGCTCTAAAGGGACTGAAGGAGGGAGAGCCAGATCAAAGGAAGGACTGGGGAGGGTCTTTAGAAGAAGATTTTCCTATCTGGGCAATTTTCGTGGTGATTGCTGAGAAGTCTTGGTGTTGAAGTCTACACATTTGGGAGTTGACCTGATTGGGAAACATCAATTATGCTCCAAGCAACTGCTTAGCAGGGATTCAATTCTCTGGCGAGCAGAACAGCCGTCAGCACAAACATCACTTAGATGATGAAGCTCTCCCTTCTATAATACAATTGTGCCTTTTTCCTGCTGCTGGTCCTTTTTTTTCCAAACAGAACCCGTAGTTTGTAGTAGAGCTGTTGGAAAAGCCAGCTATAAAGTGAAGAAAATCCAGGAGCACTTCTATACCTGAGTTAAGAAAACCGATTTTCCCCCCCATTGATTTGAAAAGGCATCTCAAAATCTGATTCCCTATAGCATTACTTAAGGGCGTTGTTTGATGCATTTTCTGCACTCTTTTGTAAAAACGGTCACTGTTATACACCAGACTTCACCAACCTGGAATCTATCGCATATACTGGAGATCAATTACCAATATTGATAGGAGAGAATGTTTCTAGCTCAGGGTTAAATTTGAGGTCCTTTGTGCTCTCTGAGCTTGGGTGTCCCCAAGGTGCTTTTATTTCAAATGGCACTTGAACTTTCTTGGTTTTGTCCACGAAAATGTTTTGCTTCTCATCCAAGAAGTTTCTTCAGTTCAGAAGGAGGAGGAGGAGGAGGAGGAGGAGGAGGAGAAGAAGAAGAAGAAGAAGAAGAAGAAGAAGAAGAAGAAGAAGAAGAAGAAGAAGAAGAAGAAGAAGAAGAAGAAGAAGAAGAAGAAGAAGAAGAAGAAGAAGAAGAAGAAGAAGAAGAAGAAGAAGAAGAAGAAGAAGAAGAAGAAGAAGAAGAAGAAGAAGAAGAAGAAGAGGAAGAGGAAGAGGAAGAGGAAGAGGAAGAGGAAGAGGAAGAAGAAGCTTCTTTAGCTTATTGGAAGAGAAGCGAAATATTTTCAAGTAAAGACCCAGAAAGACCAGTTGCCTTTTGGAAAAGCACCTTTGGGACAACCATGAGCTGAATGACTGAACTCTCCCCAAACCTCTGAGGCTGATTGTTTCCTTGCAGACATTTCATTACTAAACTGGGTAACATCATCAATGCTAGTGGTGATACGCCTAGCATTGATGATGTTACCTAGTTTGGTAAAGAAATGTCTACAAGGAAACAATCAAGTTCAATGATCAATCAGGACCCCGTAATTACCAATGTGTCCAGCTGGAATGTCATCCAATGTGTTTGGAACCAATCAGTGGGGGAAGCAGGCTGTATGTATATTACTGACATCTGTTTGGGCAGCAGGAGAACAGGGCAAACCGAATTCCATGTTCTGCCTTTCTCCCATGCTGAGTTTGGCAATAAAACTAATAATTTGGCTCCCTGACTCAGCTGCATCACAAGTTTCCTCCTTCAGCTAGGAATCCAATTACAGAAACCTGATTCATATATATGCCATGAACAGGCTGAACAAAAGCTCCTGCTTATTATTAGAAAGAAAGGCTCTCCTCCCTTTTCATCCCTTATTGTAATGACAGGCCATAATTAAAAAAAAATTAGCTACGTTTCCCTAATTCCAATTCATTACCATTTACCTGGCCAGCTATGGTCCATGGGGTTGTAAAGAGTCAGGCACTTAGCGACTGAGCAACTACAAAACTACTGAACTGATTGGGCCACCAATGTAAGATTTCAATTAGTGTATATAAAGCAAGGGGCTAAAAGCAGGGGTAGTCAACCTTGGTTCTTTTATGACTCGTGGACTTCAACTCCCAGAATTCCTGAGCCAGCTGTGCTGGCTCAGGAATTCCGGGACTTGAATCCACGAGTCATAAAAGAGCCAAGGTTGACTACCCCTGGGCTAAAAGGATCATCTTAACCACAGCCTACAGCTTCCCTGGGTAGAATCTTAACTTGAGCTCCAAGTGGCCAGTCTGGAGCAAGGCAAACAAGTTACGACCTTGAGTTTCTGACAGTAATAAAACAGGTTTGTCAAGTGACTGGTCCACTTTTTGTGACATTTTTGTGGTATTCCTTAAGTGAATCACTGCACTCATTAAGTGAATGCCGCAATCATTAGATAAACCAATGGTTTGCTATGGGTGCAATTTTACCAAAAATTAAAAGTAAAACATGGCCACATGATTGAAGGATGCTGCAGATGGCTATAAATGCAACCCAGTGACTGAGCAGCTGAAGGGCAATCAGTGACCATAGGGGGGAGGGGCTGACCATCAGAACTTAGAATCCGGGTCATAAATATCTCCAGGTAGGTCCTTCGGAACTTCAACAGAATGTTGCTATGGTTATAAGTTATAAGGACTAGTCCAACGTTACAACAACTATCTCACAGAAAGTCAGTTTCAAGTTATCCCTTTAAAAAGAGAACAAAATTACAACAATATAAAGGAAGTTCAAAACTGGACAGGGCGACAGGGGTCTATTATATTTCTCCTGTGAGGGCAATAAATCATTTGTACATTAATGCGAGAGAGAGAATGAGAGAGAGAGAGAGAGAGAGAGAGAGAGAGAGAGAGACAGACAGACAGACAGACAGACAGACAGACTGAGACAGAGAATGAGAGAATAAGAGAATGAGAGAAAGAGAGATTTAGAGAGAATGGAGAAACAATGAGAGAGAGAATGAGAGAATAAGAGAGAGAATGAGAGAAAGAATGAGAGAGAGAGAGAGAGAGAGAGAGAGAGAGAGAGAGAGAGAGAGAGAGAGAGAAGAGAGACAGAGAGAACAAGAGAGAGAGAGAGAAAATGAGAGGGGAGGGATGACTTCCAACCACGGAAATGTGACCTTCAGCTCTTTTGCAAAATCAGTGCTGTCAAGTCTTCCTGACAATCATTTGCCTCCTCAGTCACTAACCTCTTGCTAATGACCTTTCTCTCACTCTCTGTCTACAGTTTGAGCACCTCTAACTGCTGCAAGGAATTACAAAGCAAATTTCTCAATGGACATATTAAGCTTAAAATTTGTAATAACCGATGAGGTCCAGTAATAATATAATCAATGTAGATTCCCACCAAGTTGCAGGCTCAGGACACAACAGGTGCCTTAAAGGCATTGGATTTTTGCAGTGACTTAGCTTCCCCAAAAAAGTCACGATGAGAGCAAACAGTGTTTTCTTTTTATATTTTATATTTTCAGGCAGCCATAATTATAGCACTGAAATCTTCCGAGTTATTTTATGGTGAGTTGTGCATATGGCTGGAGTAAAGCAGGAAGAAACATTTGTATTGTGTCTATTGTGCTAAGTTCCCACAAGCATCACTTTTGAATCATACTGGAGGGCCACAAGATGACTCATTGACCAAGTACTGGCAGTCCTCGACTTACCCCAGTTCATTTAGTGACCATTCAAAGTTACAACGGCACTGAAAAAAAGTGACTTATGACAGTCCATGAAGAGTCAGATTCATTTAACATCAAGGTTACTAATTTATCAACGGCAGTGATTCACTTTATAACTGAGGCAAGAAATGTTGTAAAATGGGACAAAATGCCCATAACAAATGTCTCGCTTCACGACAGAAATTTTGGGCTTGATTGTGGTCGTATGTCGAGGACTACCTGTATTCTACATACAAACATCTTGTCAATTTCATAATGTTTAATTTTTTTAAGTAGCTAAGCTCCGATAGATGGACAAATGATGGTGGTAGTAGTAGTAGTACTAGTAGTAGTAGTAGTAGTAGTAGTAGTAGTAGTGATAATGATAATAATAATAATAATAATAATAATAATAATAATAATAATAATACACCCCAGACTTAACAATTGTCGATAAGAAAGACAAAAAAGTCTGGATAGTGGACATGGCAGTGCCAGGAGACAGCAGAATAGATGAGAAAGAACTAGAGAAGATAACAAAATACAAAGACCTACAAATAGAAATAGAAAGACTGTGGCAAAAGCAAGCAAGGGTAGTACCAATAGTGATAGGCTCCTTGGGTGCAATCCCAAAACAACTGGAGCACCACTTGAACACCACTGGCATTGACAAAATTCGTATTAGTCAATTGCAAAAGGTGGCCTTACTAGAAACTGCTTCCATCCTGCAATGATATCTGTAATACCATCAAACATCCACATCTGCCTATCCCAGGTCCTGGGTAAGGACTTGATAGGTAGACAAAATGCCAAATCCAGTCTGAACATCTGGCTGACTGTGCGATGATCCATAATAATAATAATAATTGGGTGCAATTCCAAAACAACTGGAGCACCACTTGAACACCATTGGCATTGACAAATTCGTCATTAGTCAATTGCAAAAGACAGCCTTACTAGGAACTGCTTCCATCCTGTGACAATATCTGTAATACCATCAAACATCCACATCTGCCTATCCCAGGTCCTTGGTAAGAACTCAGTAAGTAGACAAAAATGCCAAATCCAGTCTGAACATCTGGCTGACTGTGCGATGATCAATAATAAAGTTATTATTATAATAAAATAAACCGCACCCACCCCATTGCCAGCAATGGAAAAAAAGTCACAATACAACGTGACAAGTCATGTGACGTTGCAAGTTTGACACCCCTGCTTTATACCATTTCAGACAAATGGCTGTCCAGTCTCTTCTTAAAAACTTCCAATGTTGGAGCATTCACAGCTTCTGGAGGCAGGTTGTTCCACTGGTTAATTGTTCTAACTGTCAGGAAGTTTCTCCTTAGTTCTAGGTTGCTTCTCTCCTTGATTAGTTTCCATCCATTGCTTCTTGTCCTGCCTTCAGGCGCTTTGGAGAATAGCTTGACTCCCTCTTCTTTGGGGTAGCCCCTGAGATACTGGAACACTGCTATCCTGTCACCCCTTGTCCTTCTCTTCACTGAACGAATGGCAAAGAGATGCGGTTGCACTGCCCCACTTGGGACTGGGATACAATCTTAGTTTGTTTGAGAATCCTTTGAATCTAGCATATTCAGTATACAGCTTGCACAAATATCCTTAGCAACGAAAAGACTCCAGTTATTTCAAATGCACTCCTTATGCAGGTAGTCCTTGACTTATGATCACAACTGCGATCAGAATCATTAAGCAAGGCATATCAGCCATGCACAATTTTGTGGCTCTTTTGCCACGGCTGTCAAGCAAATTACTGCAGTTGTTAAGTGAATCTGGTGGGCATAAAATGAATCTGACTCCCTCCATTTATTTTACTTGCCAGAAGGCAGCTGTGAAGGTCACAAATGGTGATCACATGACCCAAGATGCTGCAACCATTGTAAATACATGCTGGTTGCGAACCGCCCAGTTTTTGATCCTATGTCCACGGGAACGCTGCGAAGGTCGTAAGTCATTTTTTTCTGTTTCATTGCAAGTAGAGGACTACTTGAATACATCTGAAAACATCACTCAAAACTTTCTTTTTGGAGTGCAGTTTTTTTATTCTACAACTAAATTAATTGCAAACTAAAAAGCCCTAGCTTTCATTGTGCAGAAAATAATCTTTGTTGTCTTGTTCACTTTAGCTGACCGTTCTGGTTTCAGTGGACATTCCACACTGGGCAATATGCCATTTGATGGAAAGTAGCAATGCATCTTTGCAATCTTCAGTAAGAGGACAATTTTGCATTGCGTCTCAATCCCATTTTGTGACAAGTCCAACTTTCC